ATGTTTTCAAATCTGCAATTAGACTTTTTCTATCACTTCTAAGTTTTAATATTATTAAAAATTAGTATTTACATATAAAAATTTCGCATCGAAGCTAAAAAATTGGCTATTTAAGCTAACTTAAATTTAAAAATTACTTTTTCGACTTTAAAAAAGAAAAAAAAATTTAATAAGTTTAATTTCTTATGTCTTATGAACTTTATTCTATGTCAATTAAATTATATAATATTCATGAAAGTCAATATATTCTCCTAATAAGATATTTTAAAATAAAATAAAATACAAAACCTAGAATTTTAATAGAAAAATAGCATATTTTTGAATAAGGTAGCCATTTGCGCATAGAAGATAGGTCGTCGGGACAAATTTTTTTTTTTATTTTATGGTACATAAAATAAGCTTTAATTTGATATATGTTTAAAGGACGCAGTATTTCCGGAACATTTTCAAAAATAAAGTTGAAAAAGTTGCTATTTTAAATCCCCCCCAATGAGCAGGTTAAGTGTTAGATTTTCAAAAAAATGATATCAAATAAAAGGGAAATTACCTAAGGTTTCAATATAAAGAAATATTATTTTGATTAGTTAATATTTGAAAAAGTTATGGCNAAATTATGTTGATTTGTTTATTTTTGAAAAAGTTATGGAAATTTTAAGAAAAAAAAGTGAAAAAAATGACAAAATTTACCGATTTTTAAATTTGTAATTTTTTTGGATATTTACCCCATTTGCGCGGAACGAGGGAAAATTTTTCAATTTTTAAGGGTAATGTCTTCAACTAGATACGATTTGTGATCTTTTGACGTATTGTTGAAAGAAATCGGTCCTGTGAGAGCTGAGAAAAAGTGGCAACAGACATAAAAAAAAACACATCATAGTAAAATTAATACCTTCTTAGCTTCGCATCGAAGCTAAAAGGTCTAAAGATTATCCTTATACAAGGTATATAAAAAGTGTTCATAATAAAGTACTATAGAATGATGATATGAAAAAAAGGTAGGAAGTGTAATTTGAAAAATTACTGAATAAAGAGTATCCAAAAGTGACATTAGAGGATATCTCGTGGAACGAGGGACTGGTAGATTTAATTAGTGAAAAAGAGGTATAGGAGACTGCGACATTAATGAAAAAGAATAAAGCAGTAGGACCAGATGAAGTGCCTATAGAAGTATGGAAAATATTAGGTGGTGTTGGCATAAGGTGATATATATAGACTAGTTTGAATTTATGCTTGGTATTTTTCAATTTCACTGACAATATAGTCTTAATAGGAGAACACGAAAAAGAAATTAATCAAAGGCTAAAGTGTGGAGATAAGCTCTTGAAGGAAAGGGATTAAGAGTAAGACATAGCATATAGAACACAAGTTTAACAAAAAAGAACACGAAGTAGGTGAAATGAGGAGATGACTGACAATAAGCGAAGACGTGGTAAAAAAGATTAAATTTTTTTAAGTATTTAGGATCAGTTGTACAACAGAACGGCGATATTAACGAGGTTGTAAGACACAGGATTAAGTGCAGGTGGGTAAAGTGGAATGAAGCATCTGGTATATTATGCGGAGGGAGTAAAGGTGTAGTGTCAATCGTAGATAAGATGAGAGAAAATAGACTTAGATGGTTTGGTCATGTTATGAGGTGAGAGGAATCGGAAGCTGTAAGAACAGTTATAGAAATGAATGTTGAAGGAAAAAGAGCTGGAGAAAGACCAAAAAAGAGATGGAGGGATGTAATTGAATGCGATATGAGGACGGCTGATGTGGGAGATCGTATCAAATGGAAATTTAGGAAGATATTACAACACTTAAATTTTTTTTTTTATTATTCTTTTAAAAGTTCAATTGCTAATATTCTTTTGGGATCAATTCTCATATTCCCTCAAAAACTTGAACCACGTCTACATATTGCTCTTCAAAAAATAATGACAGAAATAAAAGAAACTTTTGAGCTATAATAGCACTATGTATCGAATTTTATGGAAAAAATAATAATAATAATCACCAAAATATTTTTAAAATACATTTGTTATTATTTTCAAAATACATTACAAATACAATTACCACGTGCGAGTTGTCGGCGAACGGTATCAAGTCTATATTATTGTTGAACGTAATTAAACTGAAGTGTCGTTGTTTAGTTCTTAACCTTAACAAGAAGGATTTAAGAAACAAATTCAGTATTTAATACTTATTATTGGTGCATTGTAATTAACATAGGTGAATCGTAATAATAGTCAATACACTTAATAATAGGCCATGGAAGTATGACTAATTGTTATTAAAATATTTAATCCAAATATGCATAAGTCGAGTGGTCAGCTATGTGTAGCATCAGCACGACTTGTGCAATAGTTCATAACAAATCTTCATGACCATTATATAATTTCCTGACTTTTCCAAACTCATGGAAATGTGAGTATTTTGGGGAAAACCAAATGCTTATGGTTAATGAACAAATTGTTAATAAGTGCATTAATATCAGGAAAACTTTATTTCTATCGTTTTCTCTTATCCTAAGCCATAGTATTCAATTATTTTTTTAGAAAACAGTTATAATTTGAAAAAAATAATTGATTAATTTATAGAATAAATATTACCTTAAAATTCAATCGTTCTATAATTACATTAAATTTATATTTCATTTTTAAATCAGCGTGAATTAAGGAACGACAAAAATTAAAGCAACCAAATAGAATAAACAAGTAAGTCATCTAATTTAACAAATATAAAATTTACATTATGTTATTCAAATATTAATTATAAACAAACATTGACTTTAACTAAGTTAAAAATTAAAATTTTTAAGATATAATAAAATTATAAGAATAAAACAATATATCAAACTTATTTTTGCCGTAATTTCATACTTTATCTTGACTACAACTCTTACCAATTTTTACTTGTTTTGCAGACTTGGGAGATTCTAGAATACGTCTTTTTATTCTATTGAAAAAATGTATTACAAAACTAAACTATATTAATTTTTTTTAGAAAAAATATAAAAATTACCCCGATGGAAAAAATCGACGAGATGATGAAGATGGTGTCTGTAATTTATTATGGCTAGGCGTACTATGTACTGCCTCATCAGATGATATTGAATCATTATTAACTATGCTTAACCAAAAACTTGAGGGCAATTTTATCAACTCTTTAATAACCTGTTAAGTAAATATTTATATTAATATTTTATTTTTAATTAATAGATAAATCTTTTTAAATTAACCTGTTTATACTATGTATAAATTTTTATCTACCTTTAAGATAATATTTAAATAAATTAAATTTGACAGATTCATATTAGACAAATATCTGCTCAAATAAATTAGAATCATCTTAAAAACAACATAAGTGACCTAGTTAAAGGTTCTATTGTGTACTACAAAACGTGAAAATGGTGCAACAAAAATGTCTGTCATAATAAAGTTATGACAATAAAGTTATAAAAAAATATTTTATTTATATTGTACATGATAGGGTAGAATATATGCAAGTAAAGCAAGTGACTCTCGTTAGAAAGGGGGTAATAATTGCAGTAATTGTATCACTGTCTTTATATGAAAGTGTATTAAATTAAATCAAATCTGTACTTAAATTTTTTTTAAAGAATATATATTAATACTGTAATTTTTAGTGTTAAAAATTAATATATATACTCTTATTTTAAAAACAATTTTTTACAGTTCTAGAAATTAGTAAGTTTTTTTATTTTATTGATATTTCATAAATAATAAAAAGTTGTTTCATATTTACTTTTGCACTTATTTTAGATTTAACATATAGATCATTCAAATGTGAGCTTGAATATCCTACAATTGTTGGTCCAAAAACAATGGCTAAATTATTGACATCCATATTACAACTTTTGGAACGAGCAACCCTACAAGTTTAAATTATAAGGTTAAAAAATTATTTTTATAATTTAAAAAATTGTCTAATTTTATTATCATAAAGATAAATAAATAATACTAGTCAGTACTACCTGAAATTCACAGCTGTGCAAAGGATGGGCTATACAGCCACAACAACCATTATTTACAAAAAAAAAAAAAAAAAAAAATGGG